TGCAGCCCAGAATATGGTTGGCTTTCTGGCATGCAAGCACACACAGTCAGCTCATGTCCAATTTTTTATCCACCAATGCCCAGAAGTCCTTCACAGGGCTGTTCTGAATCAGTTTGTCTGTATTGATATTGATGTATATGTGAGACATAAAAGTGGTTGTTCACTGAGTACTTCAGGTACTGCCTCTGGGTAATTTTCTTAAATTCTCAGCAACAGGAATTTTCATTAAGTTCATCTTTTGTGTTAAGATATATAATTACTTTTCCTTGAGAACAGGAAGGAAAAACAGCACATATACATATACATGCACAGCACATATAATACATAATTTCAAATAACAGAAGACAAGGAAAAAGAACCTCAACATTACTAAGTCATGTGACTTAATGGCAATCTTACAATTTAAAGTATAGTTCATCAGTGGCTATAACTGGCTTCATTGCTGTTTAAAAACATATTGCCAGAGACTGAAAATTAGGAAAGAAAACACATTAAAAACTTATTTTTTCTTAGTGCCAGCCTTTAACATTAACTTATTTCATGGCCTCTGAGTGCAACTAACTTTCTTTTAGCATCAGCTGAAAGTTCCTGAGGTTTATGGTTTATGTGTAAGATCCATGAATGGACATTGATTAGAAATGAGCAATGGTCAGTTCCTTAGTGTAAATAACCCAGAAAAAAGAGAAGGAAATGTGGGAAAATCATCTATTGTCACAGCTCCAGACCTTTTCTTTCTTTTCCTCTCATAACTATTTAAAGAGTATTTAAAGACCCTCATGGCAAAACAAACCAACCATCTAGGCTTTCTTCAGCTACCTTTGATGCAATCAATCTGTTGAAAACACTCAAAGCTCCTAATATTCAGCTAATTATTCTACAGTTTCATAGAAGCATAAACATACATAGACCTTTAGAGATTAATCTGAAAAACTCATTTTTTATGGGAGTTTTTTGAACTTTAGAGGAAATTGATTTTATCATGAAAACCTCATTGACATGTTGCCTACAGAAACTATTCTGGTAAAAGCAATATCCAGACATGCTCTAAACCTCAGAATGAACTTTGCCTCTCAAATAAAATTCTTGTCAGGACTTAGCTTCAACACTTGCCTTAGATAAAACATGCAACACAGACAAACATGGACAACAGACAATGGGTTGCAAATCCAGTCTCACTTTTTGTTTGCTGCCTACTGCTTCTTTATTTATTTTGTCTATGGAAGATGTCTTCACTAACTCAGGCTCTCTTCTGTGTTTGCAGGGTTCATAGCTTTTTCTACATACCCTGAGCTGGCTAAACAGGTGAAACTGTTCTGTGCTCTGGGCCCAGTAACCACATGCTCACATCTTACAAGCCCTCTGGTTAAGATAACAAATGTTCCTGAACCACTGCTCAGGGTATGTCATTCTTCCTCCTAAGAGGCCCAATGCCTGTCTTATCCTCACAGGGTTCACTTAACCTGAGATGAAGTGTTCCTGAACAGGTGACATGCTGATATTGAGCTCGGGATGAATTGAGTGCTCTTGAAAAATCTGTACCCAAACTCTGTGAGGAAAATACTGGAGATACAGGGCTTGTAGCAGCAGGTCTCAGGGAAGGAGGAGACATGTGAAACTCTGTCTTGTCAGAGGACTCTTGCTGATAACTAATATTTTGCTGGCCTCATGCAGGAGGAACTAAACCAGAGCTGCAATAATAGCCATGACAATCTCCGGGACTTCAGAAATGAGGGAGCATTGAGGTCACTACACTAGAAATGAAAGGATGTCTTCCTCCAGGATTGATGCCAGTAATATGAAGAAGGAAGGATATATGATGTCCCATGGGGAAGAAGGTGTTTTAAGAAGTACTGGGAGGGCGAGTTGTTTCAGCAATCTTTGAATACCGAGTTAGGAGGCTAGGCTACCAGCAACAGTTTCCTGCGTAAAATGCTCCTGTAACAAGAAAAAAAGTGTTGTGCTTTTCTCTTCCCTCAGTTGGCACTTGGCTGCAAAGGAACCATGCACCAGATTGGATTTCTGAAAGGACCTGCGACACATTTATGTACAAGCCTGGATAAGTTTTGTGGCCAAGTACTCTGTTACATAGCTGGAGGTAACATAAAAAATCTGAACACGGTAAGTATATGCAAGAACACCTACTCAAAGTAAAACTGAAGTGATTTTGGAAGTTACGTTTGTGCCCTCTATCCTTATCCAGTAACTGTCACACAAGTAAACTTACATAAACCACAACACAGTTCTCAGCAGACCAAGGGTATACCAGGACACCATGTGGTGGAAACAGTGCCAAACAGGACAAGAGCTAATGACAGATGGGACCAACAACAATCGGTACATTCCAATCCCAGAAAGAAAGGGTTGAATTCAGTCTAGAGCTATATTCCAGATGTCAATAGATGTGTCCTTGTTTTAGGCTAAGCCAAACGGATTTTGGTCATACATAGATGTGCTTTAAAAAGAGCCAATGGATGATGGTGTCAGACTTCTTCTTGGTAATACAGTTCCCAGTTCCCTTCCTTAGCATGCAGACACCAGGGTCCTCTAAACACTGGAGTAATTAAAAGACAGGAAAAAGCTCCTTTTCTCTTCCCACTTTTCAGCCCAGAAAAGTGCACTACGTCTGCACCAGAACTTGGTCCCAAAGAACGACTATAAGGGGCATTTTCACATTTTTGTTGTCCTTAGAACTGGGCCCAACAGCTCGATCCACAATATGTAGAGCTACAAAAAGTCCTTCCAATGTGCCTGAGGAGTGCAACACACCTGCAGTGGGATTCACAAAGACTAGTGCATCAGTCAGAGGGAACAGGAGAAACAGGAGAGTTGTCCATATACTTGCCAACATGTGGATGCTGTAGTGTGTCTCAAATCCCCTTTACAGTGGCCAAAGGATGCAGAAGTTGGCCTGTGTAATGTTTATTATCGCAATATCTCTAAAGACTGGGGCCAATTTTTCTCCATCTATAACCACTTGTAAAAGCACAAATGAGAAATCAGCGAGAATCAAAGGTTCAATGCAACAGCAATTTAAGGTACTGCAGCCCTTTTGAATTGCAGAGCTAAACCTTTAAGGAACTCTCCTGACTTGGTTAAGTCGCTAATGTGGTTTTCAGGGCAAGATGAAAGTCTGAGGAGGAATGTGGGGACATGGAACATCTGCTTAACAGAAATATGAAAATGCAAACAGAAGAAAAAGCAATCTGTTTTGTAAGCTGCCTTCTTTAGCACTAGGAGTAAAGTGAAGAGAAAAACATCTCTTCAAAAGACATACATGCATGGGGGTTTTGTGTGAGGTATCTACTTTGAAAGGACTGAAAGGTTTTTCCCTACTGTTGCTGAATCACTGGATCCCACAGTAGTGCTAGCTTGATGGAGAAAGTGTGCAGATGCATACTATTAACCAGCTATTCCTAAGTCTGCTTCTCAGTTTTCTGTCTGATATTTGAAGAATATCCTATTAAAACAGAGTTTTAACACAGCAGCAGTATGTTGCTCAGGTCCTTCACAACTTTATTCAGTCACAGCAAGCGATCACTGCATTTATGACACTTCTGCTTTCTCTCCAGAGTCGAATAGATACATACGTAGGACATTCCCCTGCTGGAACATCAGTACAGAACATTATTCATTGGCATCAGGTATAACAGCATATTGACCTATAAACAGACTCTTACTACTGCTTTTTATGCAACCAACAGCCTACAAGGGAAGTCCAGAGGAGATGGATCTGGGAAACTGCCCATCACATCTTCTCACTTGCTGCCCTGAGCACCTGCCACAGAAGGAGCATTGTTCCCATGGCTCACCAGACCATTACCTGAATTGCCCCTTTGGTATCAGGCACTACGATTTCCCCAGGGTACATCAGGCTTCTCTGCAGGTTGGGCTCTCAAGGCTTCCAGCCTTCGTCTTTATTTATGAAGACATTTGCCTTGAAAGCTGAAGAAGTGAACACAAGCACGATCTAGGCACTCGGCAGGCAGTTGGAGGACAGTGGAAACTTGAGCAGCCAGGGGATCAGCCAGACAAAGAAGTGATGCAGGTTAAAGCTTTTCTCCCAGAGGGTTAACTGCAGCCTGGATCACCTCCCAAAGCCAGCTAACCACACAAACGCTTCTGCTGGCACAATGGCACAGTGAGGAACTGCCAAGTACATGGCAAGCAACATCTACAGGGATGTTCCCAATAGCCATTTTTTTTTTCCAAAACCCTTTTAGTCACCCTTGCCACTGTCCAGATCCTAGATTCCAGTTCTCTAAAGATGGGTTTCTACCTATGCACTGGCAGATCTGAGCTTGTTCTGTTCATGATCTGAATCAACCCGGGGCAAGACAGCTCCAGCCAAGAGACACATCACTGCATGTGTCCAGGTGCACCTGCTGAGCCAGGATATATCTGCATACATCCTATAGGCAGACCCACCCCATTTTGCAAACACTTAATATGTTCTAGAATATAGGTGAGCTCCTGAGGACACTCCTGACAAAAATTGCCAGTAGTCAGTCCCAGAGGATATACCTACCCAGATCCAGGAAATGGGGACAAACCATTGACAGTCAGTGGTTCTACAACCTATTTTGCCAGCCTCTAACAAAGTCAAGCTGCTACAAATCAAGCAGAGATACAGCAGGGTAGAAGAAAATAGCAAAGGCAATACAGCATGCAGATTTCTTGGCTATCTGAAGCCTTGAGGTCAAGGTTTTCTGTAACTAACAGACACTGACTTTCTCGCACCCTGTATTGCATACAACCACTCACAAATAAAATTACTTGTCAGGTTTGTGCAAAAAATAATAATAAAAAAATGACAAAACAAAACAAACAAAACCTAAAACCAACCAAAGGGGGGAAAAAACCCCAACACAAACAAATGTGTACTTAACTCTTACCTCATCTGTCCTACAGGGCATATATCATGTCTTTTAGACAACATATATTCAAGAAGGCTAACCTTTTGTGTCTAGTGTTCCACCTCAGAACTGCTGTCAGAGCAAAACTCATGCATAGTTAAACTCTTGTAAGAAGTACAGAGCCTCTGAAAATGTTGCCACTACTGTAAGCAGACCAGACAAAACTGACAGACAAAAGACAAGATGTGTAAGGAGACCTCTTATATTATACTAGACTAGTAATAGACCTGACACTTTCTAGACATTCAGATCCTCTTTCCATGTGACAACTGAACCCCACTCTGCATCACAAACAGGGACCCCAAATTTAGTTACAACTAAGGTAGTCAAGCAAAATTTTAGCAACAAAACATACCAAGGATGGCAGCTGAGGATCAAGAGAGAAAGTTAGCAAGAGGAAAGGCGATGAAGCCACTCACCCTACGATTCACTCTCAGTATTCCTGGAAGCCTCCAACCAGAGGAAGGGATGGAAGTAACTTGCAGTCCATTGCCTGAGCCTTGGCTTCAGTCACAGCCAGGAAATGCTTCCTTCACTCTGCTTCTTTGCCTCTCAACACTCACATTTTATCTGTTCTTTTAACAGCTAACACGTGTAGACCAATTTCAAGCTTATGACTATGGCTCTAAGGGAAACATGAAGAAATATAACCAGGTAAGGCAATATCGTTTCCCTGAGAACTCATCCTTGGATCCTGGTAAAACTAAGAACAGAAAAATTCAGATTTTGGCACCTGTGAGTGCTACACAAAGAGGCAGAGAGTGGTCTGAGGTAATGTTTCACTCGAATCTAATAGTGGTAAGTGTAAAAGTCCATTCACAGGCAAGGCATAGACAGATCCTTGCAGGGAGCTAGCAGAAGTTTGTTTTGTCTCCCCTACCGATGCAGGGATGTATCCAAGGACATGTCAATTTACCTGCCATTCCCAAAAGGCCAAGAGCCATACTCAAGTGCTAGGACTGGATGAGTATGGAGCTCTTCACTCCCCCCAAAATTCTCAAGGTCTGCCTTTCAGTTAAGGGAAAAAATGAATCTCACAGATATGGTGACCTCTCCAATTGGCTGACAATCATTTCACTTTTTAACCAGCACATTTGACTTGCAGTGTCCTGTGCTGCACCAGGGCACGCTGCTTTTCACAGACAGGAAGGCTCCAGAGACATAATCAGTTACTCCTACCTGCACACACTCTCTCAGAAATTTTCTAGAATGAAATTATAAATAGCTGAAGTATTTCCTTGCCACTTAAGTCCCAAGCAGAACAACAACAGTTGCACTCCATGCCCCAACAAAACTTAAAGATCTTCCCACCCTAAATATACAGATGAATAATCTCCCCAGTCCTTGCCTGATAACCACAGACACTGCTCTTTCCATATCCCAGCCTCTGAAGAGCACAAGCAGGTATCAAACTGCAGAACAACCCTTAGCCATGCATTACAGAAAGGCACAGGAATAGGATGATTCGTTCCTTTTCACAGTAGACAGGGAATGGGGTTAGGGAAATAAACACTAATAGGGTGCCCTTCATCCTTACTGTTTTATTGTGGTGAGTGCAGGAAGAAAGGTGCTTGCACAGAATCCTTTCTCTAAACACAACTTCTGATACAACACCATTCACTCAGATCTCCTTTTCTTACAGTCTACCCCTCCTGTGTACAAGATAGAGAAGATAAGCCTACCAATTGCTGTTTGGAGTGGTGGACAGGACAAATTTGCAGATCCAGAAGACATTGCAAAACTACTTCCTCGGATTACTAATCTCATTTACTATGAGGATTTTCCTGCTTGGGGGCACCTTGATTTCATCTGGGGTCTTGATGCATCTGAGAAAATCTATAAGAAAATCATTGAACTAATAACAAAATACTTGTGAAACCACATGCAGAGTGTTGATTCACTCAGTAAAAACCTCCAAAATTTCTATTTGGCAATAAGTGTGATACCTGGGGAAGAGGTAAACACACAGACACACATAATGGATACCAGTATAGGTATTTATCTGCACTTGTTTGTTTCTTGCTTTCCTCATAGTTTGAGGTTTCCCATGGTACTACTGTGACTGCTGCCTTCCTGAGAAATTTGAGGTGTATAAGAATGAAAGCTTAAAACACAAATATATTTGAGCAAACACTGCAGGGATCATTTAATTTGGATAGCTTTTATTTCTACAAGACTGATTTTCCTAAGCCTAAACTCTGTTGTTCTCATGTATATCTTACGTAACTCA